TTGGGGACATGGGGATGGGTTGGGGACACAGGGACAGGTTGGGGACATCGGGACAGGTTCGGGACATCGGGGTGGGGACGCGGGGACAGGAGGGGACCCGGTGACCGCGCCACGGCCCCGGGACGTCCCCCCCCCGGTGTCACGGCCACTCCCGCGGCTCCTCCGAGTGTCCCCAACCTGGAGAGGGGACACGGTGAGGGACAGGGCGGGGCACTCGCCCCCTCCGTGTCCCCGAGATGTCCCCAAGGTCCCCGCTGTCCCCTCACCGTGGCTGTCGCTGCCTCTGGTGGCCCCGGACGTGTCCCGGCTCGCGGTGTCCCCGATGTCCCCAAGGCTCCTCCTCGGCCACTCCTGGACCGGGGGACGTCCCCGGGGACGTGTCCCCTCTCCTTGGGGTCCTGTCCCCTCTCCTTGGGGTCCTGTCCCTTGTCCCCGGGGACCCGTCCCCTCTCCTTGGGGTCCTGTCCCCTCTCCTTGGGGACCCGTCCCTTGTCCCTGGGGACGCGGGAACGGCCACTGGGGACGCGTCTCCGATGTCCCCTGTCCCTGGGGACCTGTCCCCTGTCCTTGGGGACCTGTCCCCTGTCTCTGGTGGGGTGGGAATCGTCCCCGGGGACGTGTCCTGTGTCCCTGGAGACCTGTCCCCTCCTTTTGGGGACCTGTCCCCTCCTCCTGGGGACCCGTCCCCTGTCCCTGAGGACCCGTCCCCTGTCCCTGGCGTCGCGTCCCCTCTTCTTGGGGACCCGTCTCCTCATCCTGGGGACGTGTCCCTTCCCCTCGGGGACCTGTCCCTTGTCCCTGGGGACGGGTCCCCTCCTCTTGGGGTCGCGCCTCCGCCGTCCCCGCTCCTTGGGGACACGTCCCCCACCCTCCTTGGGGACCCCCCTCAGGTCCTTGGGGACGCCCCCAGGGCACTTGGGGACGTCCCCAGGGTCCCTGGGGCCACCCCCCCGGCCCTTGGGGTCGCCCCCCCGGGGGTCCTTGGGGTCGCCCGTCGGGTGTCGGGATCCAGGTCCCCAAATCCCGGAGCCACGCCCAGAGTCCCCTCTGGGGCCGTGTCCCCTCCTGTGGCCGTGTCCCCTCGCGTGTCCCCTCCTGGGGCCGTGTCCCCTCGCGTGTCCCCTCGGGGAGCAGCGCCAGTCCCCGCAGCAGCGACATCGCCGCTTGTCCCCAAGGCTCGGGGACAGGGACGGGCTCGGCGGGTCCTGGGGGGGTGACACGGGTGGGGACGGGGACAGGGACCTCGTGTGTCCCCCCCGTGTCCCTTTGTGTCCCCCCATCCCTCAGTGTCCCCCCATGTCCCCCCCAGTGTCCCAAATGTCCCCCCACCCCTCCCTGTCCCCCCAATGTCCCCAGTGTCCCCCCCCAATGTCCCCCCATGTCCCCCCCAGTGTCCCAAATGTCCCCCCAATGTCCCCATGTCTCCTCAATGCCCCCCTTGTCCCCAAATGTCCCCAAATGCCCCCCTTGTCCCCCCAATGCTCCCCATGTCCCCCCAATGTCCCCAATGTCTCCTCAGTGTCCCAAATGTCCCCCCAATGTCCCCCATGCCCCCCCAGTGTCCCTCACCCCCCAGCAGCAGCAGCAGCGTCCCCAAGGCCACCACGAGTGTCCCCATTGTCACCTCCCGGCACTGCCCGACCCCGTCCCGGTGTCCCCAGTTTATGGGCGCGGGGACAGGGACGTCCCCTGGGTGGGGACGGGGGGTGGCCTGTCCCCGTGACAACCCGGGGGACAATGGCAGGGCCCGGTGGCCCCAACCACCCTTGGTTCCCAATGTCCCCAATGTCCCCAAACCCTCCCAGTGTCCCTGGTGGCCCCAACCCCCCCCGGCCCCCGGGGTCCCCAATGTCTCCAAACCCTCCCAGTGTCCCCAAACCCTCCCAGTGTTCCCAAACCTTTCTTGATGTCCCCAAACCTTCCCTGATGTCCCCAAACCCTCCCAGTGTTCCCAAACCTTCCCTGATGTCCCCAAACCCTCTCGGTGTTCCCAAACCTTCCTTGATGTCCCCAAATCCTCCCCGGTGTCCCCAAACCCTCCCCAATGTCCCCAAACCCTCTCTGGTGTTCCCAATGTCCCCAAACCGTCCGTGGTGTCCCCAGTGTTCCCCCCCCGCGGTGTCCCCGCGGTGCCAATGTCCCTTTTGTGTCCCTTTTGTGTCCCCGAGCCGGGGACAAGCCCGGACCCGCCGGGGGCCACCGGCCGTGACCACGCGGTAGCCACAGACACGGGGGGGGGGCTGGGGGGGGTTTATTGGTGCCGGGGGGGTGACAGGGGGTGACAGGGGGGTGACAGAGGGGTGACAGAGGTGACAGGGGGGTGACAGAGGTGACAGGGGGTGACAGAGGGTGACAGAGGGGGTGACAGAGGTGACAGGGGGTGACAGGGGGTGACGGGGGGTGACAGGGGGGTGACAGAGGTGACAGAGGGGGTGACAGAGGTGACAGGGGGTGACGGGGGGTGACAGGGGGGTGACAGAGGTGACAGAGGGGGTGACAGAGGTGACAGGGGGTGACAGAGGGTGACAGAGGTCACGGAGGGTCACGGGAAGGACTCGGAGGCGGGGACGGAGAAGGACGAGCTGATGATGAAAACCTTCACGTAGTGCACGGCCTGGGGGGGACACGGGGGGGTCAGGGGGGGGGGGGGGGGGGGGGGCCCCCCCCCGCCCCCCCCCCCGTGACACCCGGGAACCTGAGACCCCCCAGGAACCCCCCCCAGGACCCCTCTGGGACCCCCCTGTGACACCCGAGAACCCAGGACCCCCCCCAGGACCCCCCCCAGGAGGGACCCAGCTGTGTGGGACCCTCCCTGACCCTCCCCGGGAATTTGAGGACCCCTCCCCTTCCCCCCCCCCCGCCAGGGATTTGGGACACCCCCCCATGACCTCCCCTTGGGATTTGGGGACCCCTCTGACACCCCCCCAGGATTTGTGGCCCTCCCCGGGATTTGGGGCCCCCCCTTTTTCCCCCCTGGGATTTGGGGACCCTCCCAGGATTTGGGGCCCTCTCCAGGATTTGGGGCCCTCTTTCCACCCCCCCCCGGGATTTGGGGCCCTCCCCAGGATTTGGGGCCCCCCTTCCCCCCCGGTACCGCAAAGACCCCGGCGAGGAGGAGGAGGGCGAGCAGGAGGCAAACGAGGGCCACGAACACGAGGGGGCAGCCGGGAGGGGGCGGGGCCCGGGGGGCGCCTGGGGGGCGGGGCAAACGTATAGGGGGCGTGGTCAGCACTGGGAGGCCCCGCCCACAGCCCCCCATGGGCTCCACCCCCCTATTCCTGGAGCCCCGCCCACAGAATATGCAAATGACCCTGGGGGGTTAATTGGCCGTGGCCACGCCCATAAAGTGCAGACCACGCCCTCAAATAGGAGGCCACGCCCCATAGGTGGACCACACCCCTCATTAGGAAAGGCCACGCCCCATTTCAGGGGCACACCTCCCCCCTCCAGGCCCCACCCACATCCCACAGGCCCCACCCCCTGGGCTTGGCCCCGCCCCCTCACCTGCCCCGCCCTCTGGGGTCGCCTCGTCCGTGACGTCATCGGCGCCGTCACCGCGTTGGCCAATGGGAGGAGCCCCGAGCAGCGGCCGCTCCGCCCCCTCGCTGACGTCACCCATGACGTCATCGTCGGAGCCGGGGGCGTGGCCCGGGGGAGTGACATCACCCCCCCTGGGCAGGAAGGGTGTGACGTCATCGCCGTCGGCCGTGACGTCATCACCGAGCTCGTCCCAGGCGGTGACGTCATCGCCGAGCAGGGAGGAGGTGACGTCATCATTGGCGGTGATGACGTCATCGGCGGGGAGGGGCCCCAGCCCCGGGAACGTGACGTCATCGTCGTCTCCCGTGATGTCATCCAGGAGGTCGTCCCCGGCCATGACGTCATCGGTGAGGTCACTGCAGTGGATGACGTCATCAAGGAGGTGCCCGCCAGGGATGACGTCATCGCTGATGTCATCATCAGGGAGGGAGGGAAGGCGGCGGCGAGTGATGACGTCATCAGTGACATCATCTCCAGATGTGACATCATCCCCGGGCTCGTCCGAGAGTGGGGGCCAGGCGATGACGTCATCGGCAAAGCTGTCCCCGCCCGTGACGTCATCGGGGAAGCCGCGGTCGGTGACGTCATCGGCGGTGTCGCTATCGGAGGTGGTGACGTCATAGGTGACGTCATGTCCCGCAGTGACGTCATCGTCGACGTCGTGTCCTACAGTGACGTCATCGGTGGTGTCGCTCTCGGGGGTGACGTCATCGCCCGGCTCCGGTCCCTCGATGACGTCATAGTTGACATCGTGGTCGGTGATGACGTCATCGCTGAGGTCGTCCTCGTGTAAGCCCATCCCAGCTGTGACGTCATCGGTGATGTCACGTCTATCCATGATGACGTCACTGGCAAACTCGTCCCACGCGATGACGTCATCAGTGAAGTCAGCCTCGTGGCTGATGACATCATCGGTGTCATCGGCCCCGGGGGTGGGGGCGATGACATCACTCCCAGCAATGACGTCACCAGCAGGGGGTCCCTCTGGGCTGAAGGAAATGACGTCATTGCCGTCAATGAGCCCGGAGGTGATGTCATCGCCCGGCGCACAGGAAGTGACGTCATCACCGCCCTCGTCCGTGATGTCACTGGGGAGGGGGGACCCGATGACGTCACCGGTGGGGACACCAACCGCGGGGGGAGGGGCGGGGCCGGCCCCGCCCTCAGTGACATCATCGGTGACATCACCGTCCTTTCCAGCGACGTCGTTGTCATTAGTGATGTCATCGGCGGTGACGTCATCGGCGGTGACGTCATCTTCGTCGGTGACGTCATCGTCCTCCGGGGGCGGGGCCTCCACGGTGATGGTGATGCCACCGGCCCGGAGGGTGGCACCGGGGGCGCCCAGGGCGGTGATGTCACCGTCCCCAACGTCCCCAGTGTCCTCTGGGATGGTGACGTCACCGTCCCCAATGTCCCCAGTGTCCCCTGGGGTGGTGAGATCCCTGTCCCCAATGTCCCCAATGTCCCCAACGTCCTTTGGGGTGGTGACATCCCTGTCCCCAATGTCCCCAATGTCCCCAATGTCCTTTGGGGTGGTGACATCCCTGCCCTCGTCACCTGCCCCCCCCAGGACAGTGCCACCCCTGTCCCCGATGTCCCTCGAGGTGGTGACATCCTTGTCCCCCAGGACAGGGCCATCCCTGTCCCCAGTGTCCCCCAGGACAGTGACATCCCTGTCCCCAATGTCCCTCGGGGGTGTGTCCCCAGAATCCTGGACCCGGGTGTCCCCTGGGCCATCCCTGTCCCCAGTGTCCCCAGTGTCCCTCAGGACCGGGACCTGCATGTCCCCAGCATCCCTTGGGGTGGTGACACCCCTGTCCCCAACGTCCCCAACGTCCCTGGGGGTGGTGACATCCTTGTCCCCAAGGTTTGCGACACCCCTGTCCCCAGTGTCCCTGTCCCCAGGTACTGGGACATCCTTGTCCCCAACGTCCCTCGGGGTGGTGGCATCCCTGTCCCCAGTGTCCCCATTGTCCCTCAGGATGGTGACACCCCTGTCCCCAGTGTCCCCAATGTCCCTGGGGGTGGTGACACCCCTGTCCCCAAGGTTTGGGACACTCCTGTCCCCAGTGTCCCCAGTGTCCCTCAGGATGGTGACACCCCTGTCCCCAGTGTCCCCAGTGTCCCTGGGGGTGGTGACATTCCTGTCCCCAAGGTTTGGGACACCCCTGTCCCCAGTGTCCCCAATGTCCCTGGGGGTGGTGACACCCCTGTCCCCAAGGCTCGGGACATCCCTGTCCCCAATGTTCCTCTCCCAGATGTCCCTCAGGGCAGTGACACCCCTGTACCCCCCGTCCCCGATGTCCCCGATGTCCCCCAGGACGGTGACACCCCTGTCCCCACTGTCCTTGTCCCCCGGGGCTGGGACATCCCTGTCCCCAGTGTCCCCTGGGGAGGTGACACCCCTGTCCCCGAGGTTTGGGATGTCCCCGATGTCCCTTGGGGTGGTGACGTTTCTGTCCCCAGGGGTGGTGATATTCCTGTCCCCAATGTCCCTCGGGGTGGTGACACTCCTGTCCCCGCTGTCCCCGATGTTCCTCTCCCAGATGTCCCTCAGGGCGGTGACACCCCTGTACCTCCCGTCCCCGCTGTCCCCCGTGTCCCTGTCCCCGAGCTTTGGGACGTCCCTGTCCCCGGTGATGTCCCTTGGGGTGGTGCCATCCCTGTCCCCAACGTCCCTGAGGTTTGGGACGCCCCTGTCCCCAGTGATGTCCCTCTGGGTGGTGACACCCCTGTCCCCAAGGTTTGGGACGTCCCTGTCCCCGAGGTTGGTGACGTCCCTGTCCCACATGTCCCTCAGGGCGGTGACACCCCGGTAGCCAATGGCCCTGTCCCCCATGTCCCCAGGAGCTGGGACACTCCTGTCCCCAAGGTTTGGGACACCCCTGTCACCGCTGTCCCTGTCCCAAAAGTCCCTCAGGGCTGTGACATCCCTGTCCCCAAGGTTTGGGACATCCCTGCCCCCAATATCCCGGTCCCAGAAGTCCCTCAGGGCTGTGACATCCCTGTCCCCAATGTCCTTGTCCCCAAGCTCTGGGACATCCCTGTCCCCAATGTCCCTCGGAGCTGTGACACCCCTGTCACCGCTGTCCCTGTCCCAAAAGTCCCTCAGGGCTGTGACATCCCTGTCCCCAAGGTCTGGGACATCCCTGTCCCTGCTGTCCCTTGGGGTGGTGACACCCCTGTCCCTGATGTCCTTGTCCCCAAGGTTTGGGACATCATTGTCCCCAGTGTCCCTTGGGGTGGTGACACCCCTGTCCCCAGTGTCCTTGTCCCCAGACCCTGGGACGTCCCCCAGAGCTGTGACCCCCCTGTCACCGCCATCCTTGTCCCCCGTGTCCCTCAGGACGGTGACACCCTTGTCCCCAAGGTCTGGGACGTCCCTGTCCCCGATGTCCCTCAGGACGGTGACACCCCTGTCCCCAAGGTCGGGGACATCCCTGTCCCCAATGTCCCTTGGGGTGGTGACATCCCTGTCCCCGATGTCCCCCATGTCCCAAACATCCCTGATGGCCCTGAAGTCCCCAATGTCCCTGAGGGCCTTGATGTCCCCAATGTTCTTGATGTCCCCAATGTTCTTGATGTCCCCAATGTCCCCCATGTCCCCAACATCCATGAGGACCTTGATGTCCCCAAGGGCCTTGTTGTCCCCAATGCCCCCAATGTCCCCAAGGGCCTTCATGACCCCAATGTCCCCAATGTCCCCAATGTCCCCGATGTTCTTGACGTCCCCGATGTCCCCGAGGTCCTTGATGTCCCAAATATCTTCTCTATCCTTGATTCCCTCAATGTTCTCGACGTCCCCAACGTCCCCGATGTTCTTGATGTCCTCGAGGCCCCCAAACTCTTTGATGTCCCCAAGATCCTTGACATCCCCAAGGCCCTGGATGTCCCCAAGGTCCTTGACACCTCCAATGTCCCCAACGCCCTTGACGTCCTCAATGTCCCCGCTGTCCCCAATATCCTCCATGTCCCCAATGTCCTGGATGTCCCCAATGTCCTCCATGTC